TGGACATTAGGAAGAACTTCTTCACAGTTAGAGTGGCCAGGGTCTGGAACGGGCTCCCAAGGGAGGTGGTGCTCTCCCCTACCCTGGGGGTCTTCAAGAGGAGGTTAGATGAGTATCTAGCTGGGGTCATCTAGACCCAGCACTTTTTCCTGCTTATGCAGGGGGTCGGACTCGATGATCTATTGAGGTCCCTTCCGACCCTAACATCTATGAATCTATGACATTATATTTAAGGCACAATTAATCAGTTAATCACATCATAAAGTGCAACTCAGCCACATGTTCATGCAAGTAATGGTGCAGCAAAAAACAAAACCAGCCACAAAACTATTACACACACACACACACACGCACACACACAAAAATGTACAATAATTTTGTGGCATTTCAATTGCACCCCAAAATGAATATGTGGCCAGGTGGACCACACTATCAGCTGATAGGCAGCAGTATCAGAACCACACCAGAGCTCAAACAGGCTGACTGTTGGGGCCTTTGTGGGTGCAGATGGAGCTTGCTGTCCCCCAACCCTTGCACTGGGAAGCAGGGCATGCCTGGGGTGTGCTCCCTGAGCCCCAAAATCACACATCCTGCCACACATGTGGTACAGCAGAAGGCATGATTATTGAGATCACAGATCAGATCCAATCATACCATTAACTAAACATCTGCCAGCACCCCAACTGGCACTGCTAGAAACAAGCCCTAGAATGCTCTCTGAGATACGTACAAGGGCGGGCAATAGCTGCGATGGACCATGGTGAGAAGAGAAGGAACCGTCCAGGGGCGTGGAAGCAGGGGCTCAGAGCAGCTCGACACAGCATCATGAGACACCCACGAGAACTACTGATGCCTACAAAATAAAGCAAGGGAGAGACAGAGAGATTCATTAGTCTTGGTGACCTTGTCTCCCTATCCCTAATAGGGAACCGTGTTCAGTCCTGCACACCAACGTATCCCAACTTGCATGCTGTCCTCTGCAGTACACAACGTGTTCGCAAGTGGGGGAGGGGTTCAGACGCAGACTGGCCGGACGATACGCACTCAACTCAAGAAGTGAATGAGCAGCACAAGGAAGGGCCGGGGGGGAACAGGGAGGCAGGAGTGGACTGGGAGCCCTTCCTTTGGATGGAGCAGAGCTGAACAACGCTAAGAGCAGAGCTGTGACACACTGACAAGCTCCTTGTGGCCTAGGACTCAGAACTCCTACTGCGGGTGGGGGCTTCTCAGTTCATATCCTCTGCAGCCTCCCACACCTGGGTAAGGGCTCTGGGCTTGTGCATTTCTGCCCTACCCCCAAGCCCCCAAATGTTGATCAGCTACATCCCAAGACAGCTCTCCTGAAGGCTGGAACTACCCCAAGGGTACACGTAGGATCAGAAGAGAGCATCATCATAACTTTAGCCCAGCGTTTCCCACTTGGGGAGTCAGGGTCCTAAGGGGCCCAGGAAGGTAATCAAGCACTGAAAATACTGCTACAGTTTTCACTCCTCTGCTCCCTGCTCACCCCTTCCCAGTCACGGGTTCTGTCACCTTCTCAACAAACGCGAGTTGTGCAGATTTTGTTGCCACTGACATATTTATTCTTTTACGGTACAGTCAGCCTGACCAATCCAGTCTGACCTCCAGCCCAAACAAGCCAACAATCTCAGATGGCACCTTCTGCTTCGAGCCCCCAGCATCACCTGTCAGTCCGGTGCAAAGTAAACTGCTCCAAACAGTCTAAGGCAGGGTGGCCACCGTGCAGCACAGGTGCCACAAGTGGCATGTGCAGCCTGTGCATGGCACACGGCAAATCAGGGAGGGAGCAGGAAACCGAGCAGATCAGGCAGGGAGCACACAGCAAAGTAGCAGGTTGGGCAGAAGGGGATTCGAGTGACAGTCAGAGAGGGCACAGGGCTCATCTGGGACTTGCTGGCCAGAAAGGTTGGCCCCCACTGATCTAGTGAAAAGCACCTTCACGCTGCCCAGGTACTACAGTGAACGGCATACACTTTCCCGAGAGGAAACACGCCCTCTCCTGGTTCACACATGAATGCTAGCCAATAGGAGAGACTGTCCTTGGTGAACAGCAGTGAGACACCCCAGGTCCTGACGTACAGGCCGGTGTCAGAGGCAGAGCAGTGGTACCCCTTCCTGAGACACTGTCCTGGGGCGGTGAATGGAGGCATGGAAAGGCCCAGTCACTGGCTTCAAGGCTAGTGTCCCAGTCTGTTCTCCAGCCCCAAACCTGAGTTTCAGCTGTACAAGAGGGTCAGTGCAGAATGGCACTGGCAGAGGAAGGTTATTCCGACTCCCTGAGCTACACCAGAAAAAAAGCATCTGCACCTGAGAGAGCATGACTGACAGACAGACAGAGGGAGGAAGGTTCAGCCACGTGGGAAGGGACCCAGGACAGCTGCTCCAGCCAGCACCCAGGCAGGCACTCTTAGGGTACATAAGGGGAAAGGGAAGGAGAAGCTGCCCTCGTGTCTGAGCATCTGTCAGACAAAGCCTGATTACCTCTGGTATTTACAGTCCTCAGCAATATCTCAATGCACTTTCCGTCCTGCACGGGCACCACGCCTGGCCCAACAGAGTCATGTCAGGACTGAGGCTGCGTGGGCACGCATCACTACTGCGGACTGCGTAGAGACTCCTGGAGTCCTGACACTGGCAAAACGAACGCCAGCAGCTCCTCTGTAATCAGAAGCATCCTTCCGACTGGTCCCCACCTGCTCTTGCAGATACTGTCCCACTCGGAGTGGAAAGCAAGGGGGCAGCACTGTTGCCCTTTATTTTGCAGATGGGGAACGGAGGCACTGAGAGAAGCAAGCATCTTCAAGGCCAGGCATGGAGTCTGGGGAAACAGAGAAGACGACCTGGGAGTGCCAAGTCTTAAGCCAGCACCGTAATCACAGGATCACCAATCTCCTACACAAAGAACTTCACTGTACTACTCTCCAGCAGCAAAGCAAACCTAATGTCTCTGGAAACCTAGTTTTTCCTGACGTGGAAACTCCACCTTCATGTGGCAGTAGTTTCATTGCACTGAGTTTCCTTGTCTACATTCACAAAATGAAAATAGCACCTACAAACAAGCAAACCTGCATTTATCGCAAATGTCCCAATTGTTTCAGGGGCAGCAAGTAACCTTAAGGGCCACATGCCACCAAAAAAATTAATCCTTTCCTTAAGTGGTTCTCAACCTTTTTAGATGCGAGACACCCCTCCATAAACTTGAGGTATACCTCAGAAAATGCCAGCTTTTAGTTTTCACTCATTATTTGACTGCAGAAAAATAACAGCAAGTCTTCTGCTGCAAAGAACTCAGGAAGACAACAACAGGCCACAATGTTTTTAACACTCTGAATTCCTGGTTGGAATCTCTGGGTTTATCTTCTGAATCATGTTTGAACACCAAACAGCATAGGGGACGCCTCGGGGGACACATGGGGACACGTCCCCCCCCCCGATTTCTGGGGGGGGTCTGTGGAGCATCCACAAAAGGTGGCTGTGCTGCTGCTGCTCCAGATACTCCCGTGGCCAGACCAGCAGCAGCAGGCGGCAGCCCAATATCAGCAGGCACACCCTGTTGCAGCTCCCCCCGCGGCCAGAGGCCACCTGAGCGCCAGGAACAGAGCGTGGCCGGGTAGCGGTGCCTCGTCCCATCTCTGCCGCTGCCTCAGGTGGGATCTGAAGGCGCTGCAAGAGAGCAAGATCCATTCCCCAGTTTTAGGGGTTTGGGACTAAAAAAAAAGGTTGACAGCCAAATTGTGCCCCCCCCCACTATCAATAGTTACACTGCTAACATTGTGTGGCACCTTGTGAGACTTGAAAGGATCTCGAGGCATCCCAGCATGCCACACTCGCTTGCCTGAGAATCACTGCCTTGACAGCCTGCTCTACACCAAGACAAATGAGAAAAGTCAGCTATTAAAGCTAGCTGTATAAACAAAGTTATCATCACCCAAAAACAGGTCTCAGAAGAAAGCTTAATCTGACCAGCAGCTAGTCAATAAAAGTTTGCCCAGGTTTCCTAATGGTTTAAATTGGCCAGAAATGGACAGTGCAGAATAGGAAGCATGCCCCAAACAGACATGTTTCTTTCCCATTAGAGAATTTGGATGGTGAGGTTCTGCAATGCGCTTTTAATCCAAGCATCTCATAGACAAGACTATTCTGCTGCAAGTTAAGCATTATTTCTGTTTATAAATGGGAAAACTGGCAGGAGCGGTTTAAGCAATATGCCTACAATCAAATAGCCAACTGCAGTAGATTTAGGATCAGGCCCCAATCCCTGGTCAATGGTCTTCTATGACCTGCGTGGGACAAGCTTTGACATGGGGGCAAACACCAGTGCCCTCCCTGGCGTAGTCAAGCAGTTGACCTCGCTATCCAGAACGCAGGGCAAAAGCAAGCAGCAACATAGCAAGAGCATCACGTGCAGGTGCCACTCACTGTGTGCCGTGCAGAGGCTTCTGTACCTGACACTTCCGGCTGAAAGCCTGATGAGAAAGATTTCAGACAGAAGCAGCAGCTGCTGTGAAACCAGGAGCCGACACAGATCGAATTTCTGCCAGCTCGGCCGAGGCGTGATGCAACTCAGCAGCCGCCAATCCGAGGTCCTGGCAGCACAAGCCACATCCCTTCCAGCAGCACAGACAGAGCTACCCTGCGGCTGATGTAACGTCAGGCCCAGCTCTTCCCTGTGGCTGCAGGAGCACGTACACCTCTCCGCCCAGCTGATGTAACTCTGCTCCACGTTGCAGCACAAAATCCAGAGTTTTAAGGTTGCTGTGTCAGTAAGACCTTTGTGCATGGCAGCCCTGGTGCCACGGGCAGTCCTGGTCCCACAACTCCGGCACAAGCACCCTGCTCCACACCCAGCTTCCCTTGACCTTCACGCTCTTCATTTTCGGACCTGCTGAGCCACTGATGGTGGCAGTTGGGTGCAGCTCCCTCCCTGCTTTCAAGGGTAGTGTGGTCTTTGAATCCACCCTTAGCCCAGCTCTCTCCTTTTTTATTGCATCCAGATCCAGCCCCTATCCTGTTCCACAAGAGGGGAGGCAGTTTGTCCTATTTACTCCCCTCTGCCCTTCTGTTTGTACTCCACTTGGCAGAGTACAGGGGAAAGCACGCTTCGATTTTGTAGTTAAAAGCATTTGTCATGTCTTCTCTTCAGAGACATCCAAGTCAAGCTGCTGCCTCAGCCTGACTTGCTTCACACCCAGATGGCCCCAATTCACTCCCATTTTGCCTCACCCCAAGTCTCTCAGTGTGATTCTAGACAAAATCAAAGGCTTGTTTTTCCTTCCAAAAAGCAAGGCCTTAGGGGACTCAGTCAAAACACTAGCTTCCTCACTCCTGTGGCTGGAAACAATTCCGAATCCTTGAAATTCATTCTTTGAAACACCGGAGCAAATACAGAGACTCCAAAAAGAGATGTACTCTTGTAACTTGGAGGCTCCAATTCACATTTGGATGTCTGAGGCTGGCAGACTCACTCTCCACTTCTAAATGGGACAGTATCTCCAAACTGGTGGGGGAAAATAGAAACCAAGCACAGGGACATCTATCCTTAGATAAAAACTGCAGCCATTCATTTTCCCAGCATCAGGGCTAAAGAAACCTACTGAGTCCCCATGCACTAACTCAGGGGCGGGCAATTATTTGGGCTGCAGGGCCACTTAGGGAGTTTGGGTAAACTGTCATGGGCCAGGTCCCCCTGGCAACAGCTCACCCAAACTCCCTAAGTGGCCCTGCAGCCCAAATAATTACCTGCTGCCGATCCAAGGGCAGAGAGAACAAAGGTTAGGGGAAGCTAACCTTTGTCCCCCCGTGCTCCCTGCACCTTCCCCCACCCCGAGTCTCTGGCACACAGCTGGGCCAATGCTGCCCTGTATTCCCACGTGCTACTTTGGGCCACGTGGGCACAGCTGGCACAGTTCCTGCCTGACCTGGTCATGTACCGGGGACTTGGGGCGGGGGATCGGGTGCAGAGAGAAGGGGTAAACAGAGTGTGCCACCAGCCTAGTCAGGCCCAGATAACCCACAGCTCCAGTCCTTCTCCCTGCATCCCCTCCCCTGCCCAAAGTCTCTGGCACATGGCCAGGCCAGTGCCATGCTGTACCACTTTGGGCCCAGGTGCCACTTCGGGGCATGTGGGTGCATCTGACATGGTTCCCATCTGACCTGGCCACTTGCTGAGGGCTTGGGGTTGGGCAGGAGCTGCACCAGCCACTCCAGCTGGGCCCACATGGTGCAGCCCAAAGCTGTGAGGGAACACAGCGTGGCATCATGTTAGCAACGCCTGCACCCCTACCAGGTCCTGACCCGGCAGAGTCTGGATAACCCGCAGCTCCTGACCCTCTTCCCCCCGCACCCTCACCCCTGCCAGTGGAGAGTGACATTTGCTGGGGCTGGGCTCTCTGGTCTGTGAACAGCCTCAGGCTTGGAGCAGCAAGCAGGCAGCCGATGGGCAGGAGCCTGGCCAGGGGCTCAGCGTCCCCTGCCTGGGAGCGCGCACTGGGGGCTGGAGGGCAGGCCAATGGGAAGGGGAATGGCTGGTGCTGCTGTAGCCGGTTGGCAGGGGGAAGGGAAAAGAGTGAGAAGCACGGAAAGCCAGGGCAGCCGTGGGCCGGATACAATTCTCCTTCAGAGGAGCAGTCATAGGCTGGATAAAGTCATTTGGAGGGCCAGATCTGGCCCGCAGGCCGTACTTTGCCCACCCCTGCACTAACTGCATTGGCACTGTGCACACAGAATAAAAGTGCTCCCAAAAGAGTTTGCAACCAAAGAATTAGGCAGGGGAAGTACAAGACAAATGGGATCGGGCTGGAAAACCAGAGCGCAGATAAAATGTTGCCTAATAACTAGATACTTGTTTTGATTTAGACACACCGTGACCAAGTCATAACTCTCCTTTCTTTAACTTCATTTATTAATTAATCTAATTTATTTTCAAAGATACAGCCATGGGCCAAATTTGGCTGTGGCGCCCTGGGATTGATGGCGCCCTCGGACTGACCAAAAGTGCTATTTGTGGAGCCAGTCTGGCGGTCGCTGCATGTGGCACCATGTCAGCCCAGCCCTGTGCACTTGTTCCAGGGCCAGATCAGGTCTTGGAGACCGTCCCTATGCACCGGAGACAGCGTACAGAGACAGTCCAGCGCAGGCAGCGCATGCTGCATGTAGCGCACAGGGCTGAATGCACTGAAGTACTGGAGGCAGTATCACAACACTCAAGAAGGCTAGGTTTTGTTTTATGAATCTGAATAAGAGATGTACATTTGACTATAATGGCTACTCATGGGACTAATTGCATGATATCTTTTGACCATTTGTGCCTTGCTTGTTGTGGTTTTTTAAACTTAATACATAATCTAGCAAATCAGTGAACATAACTGGAGAACTGGAACTGAAGAATAATGTGCGTTGTGTTTTGTGTGATGATGTGCCTCACCGCCTGTGCCACAACACCTGTACTCCACTTCTCAGCATTTAGATCTGCCCCTGGGCACGGCCACGGCCACGGCCACCTCACACAGCATGTCCCCAATGCCAGCTCTATGTACAAGCCCAGGAACGGTGCTGGTGCATACTGTGTGCAGCAGGCAGGGTTGGTTCAGGACACACATTACATGAAGTTGCCCAGCCCTGCACACTGGCTCTGATGCGTGGAGCTGGCCTGGGGGTTCGATCCGGGCTGTGGACCAGCCCCACGCTCTGTGGGCCAGATGAGTTTGACCCTGCCTTAGCCCAAGTCGTATTCCACTCTCCTCTTCCCTTCAGTCTCCAGCCAGACATGACACAGCTGTCAATGTTCAGCTTTTGTGTTTAATAGCTCTCCTCTTTGCAGGCTACCTCAGCGATTCTTGACACAACCTGACACAGAACACTTCAGCACCTCCATTCAAACACAATTCCACATACTGACAGCTTCCACTACAGAAACTGCATCTAGCCACTAACTGAAAAGACTGTTTCTTTTTCTTGTCAGCCAGCAGAAGAAATGTCCCTTCTTTGGGCGGGAGGAGCAATCAAAGGAGAACTAAGTCAAAGGGCTGAGTTTTGCACTCATGATCAACAAACCCTTGTGAGAAGCTCCCACAGGGAGCCAAGATTTTCACAGGAGCTTGACCTGTCTCCTGTGCTCAGGGCTGTCCCTAGCGGGGCGTGAATCGGAGCAACTGCCCTGGGCCCTGTGCTTTGGGGGGCCCCGCGAAGCCAGGCCGGCTTTATGTCTGGCCGCTTGCCACCCTCCCTCCTCCCCTGCCACATCCAGGCCCCACACAGGCTCATTTCTCCCGGGCCCCACAACCTGCTACGGTCATCTCTGCCTGTGCTAGCAGACAGATGCATTAGACAGCACCCAGGGAGATTTAAACTGAAGGACAGTCTAACACTGACAGTGGTTAAGCACTTGAGCAGATTACCTAGAGAGGCTGTGCAGTCTTCTTCAGTGGAAGTTTAAGTGCAGGTCAGAATAACACTTGGCTGGATGGATTAGACAGGGATGTTCCTGCCAAAAGCAGCAGGCTGGACTGGGTGACCTCCTGAGGTTCCTTCTGGCCCTGTTCTTCTAGGACTGTCCTGGTCCTCTGGAGCTGTAGTGGAAGGTCAGCCATGGAGAGAGGCAGCTTAAAACCAGTCACATGAAGGGACTTTGACTATAGTAAGAAACCTTTCCAGGGACAAATCAGTAAAGCTAACCCAAACTGAGGTTTTAGTAGATAAGGTTGTGAGAAAACGGATAAACTAAACAGTAACAAATCACCGGGACTCAGGACCTTAGGGTGAATGCCACTGAAGGGGCTCAGATCAGAAACTACCAAACTCCTAACTGTAGCATGCCTCCTATCACAAAAAACAGCCTTGTTATCAAAGGATTGGGGGATTGCCAATGTGACTCTGATATTTAGAAGAAGCTCTAGAAAAGAGCCAGGGAACTTCAGGGCTGTGAATCTAACTCAGGAAGTTAGTACAGAGTAAAACAGGGTGCAAAGCACTGTAAGTTATACCATACTAAGGCCCATTTGGTGCAGAGCACCTCCCCAGCCCACTCTGCCCTCCCAGGCTGAGTCCAAACTGCTGGGCCATGGAGGTGGTTCCTGCCCAGTACCAGTTCCACCAGACTGCAGCCTGGTGCCCTGCTGTGGGCAGAGAGATCTCTGGAGGGGCTTGTGACCCCCCATGCCCTCCTGACATCACCCATGCCTTCACACCCCCTGCTCCACACACAGTCCCCCCCTTCCCCACATACTGGGGGGCAGGTTGGGACTGAGGGGCACTGACAGGGATGGGAGAGGTGGGGGGCTGCAAGTCAGGAGTGAGGGCAATGGCATGGGCCAGGGGGGACGGACCACACAGCTGCAGCTGGACCTGTGTCTTGGTGAGCAAAGGGGGCAGGGGAAGCTCTGATTCTCTATGATAAAAAACCCAAAATCAAATGCCAAAATTTATAGATGTTTATAGGTTTGGGATTTGGGGAATCTTCTTCTCAGTACTCCTGAATTGCACATTTAAAGACATGGAAGGTGGAGTGTACCTCCACACAAGATTGGACAGGCAACTCTTCAACCTGTCACAAATTAAGGCAGACTAAAGTTAGAAAGGTGCTTATCAGGGAGTTTCTATTTACTGATGATGCTGCCCTTACAGTCCACGACAAAGACCTACTTCAAGAACTCATCAACTGCCTCTCAAGAGCTTGTCAGGCATTTGCTCTCACCATCAGCATAAAGAAAACCATTGTACTAGGACAGGGAAGACATCAATCATCATTGATGAGAACCAGCTAGCAGTAGTCCAAGAGTTCAGCTACCTAGGCTTCATTGTGACCACCAACCTTTCACTGGATGAAGAACTTCATGTTCGCATCGGAAAGGCTGCCACCACCTTCAGCAGACCAACTAAAAGAACCTGGAACAACCCAAAGCTTATCATCAAGACCAAAATGCTAGCGTACAAGGCTTGCATATTCAGCACTCATGTATGTGGGGGGGAACATGGACAGCTCAAGCACTTCAAGAGAAAAAGTAAAACAGCTTCAACCTGCGCTGTTTACACTGCATACTCAACATCAAATGGCAAGATAAAGTTACCAATGCAGAGGTTCTTCAAACAGCAAATTTACCAAGCACGACAGCTTTACTCAAACACAGACAACTGAACTGGCTAGGCCATCGAAGCAGATTGGAAGATGGACGTATACCCAAGGACATGCTACACGGGGAATTACCGGAGGCAACAACAGGATGCCCCAAGCTTCGCTACAAAGACACATGCAAGCGAGATATGAAGGCATCTGGGATCGATCCTGACCAATGGGAAACCTTGGCAAGCGATCGTAACAAGTGGTGTCATCGTCTCCACCAGGGCATCGAAGTCCACAACAGAAACTGGCTGCAACAGCTTGAAGAGAAAAGAGCCCGTAGGAGGCAAGCAGCTCCCAAACCGCCCAACCATGACATGTTGCAGGGGTGTAGGTTGTAGCCGTGTTGGTCTAAGGACATAGGCAGACAAGGTTCCTTGGGTGAATCTGATATCTTTGGTCTAATAAAAGATATCAAATTCACCCAGGGAACCTTGTCTGCCTACAACCATGACATGTACATTTGTAATCACTGCCACAGAGCATGCAAATCTCGGACTGGACTATTCAGTCACATGAAACACTGCAAACCATCTACGTCACAGTCTGCAATATCCACCATCTCCCATAGACAAAAGGATGCCAAAGTGGCGTTTCATTTGAATCACAGAAAAACATGTATTTGGGGGGGGGGGGTTTAATCAGTGAATTTTTTGTTTTTGTGTTTGTTTGTTTTTTTAAATCAGAGAATTTGGGATTTTTAACAGAGAAAACCAGGATCCCTGGTCATCACAAACCCAGTCTGTCTAACCTGGTAGTTTGCTTCTGGCAAGGGCCCACATCTAGCACCGAAGGCCAAACCCTGCCTGCCTAAACACCAAGCCAGTCATGCAACATGAGACTGGGAAGGGAGACTTCTATACAAGGAATGTAAGAGCAGCTCACAAAACAAAGCATGCGATTTAATCACTGTTATTCTGGCTTGCCTAAAAGACATCATCAGCTCTTTGAAAATCCAGACAGTTTCAGATGCAGTCTGTTGTGACTGAACTCCACAGCTAACTACCCACAATAGGAAGACCAATTACTTTATTACTGGCTCTAATTTTTTTTTATTTTTCTTTTTGTTTTACCTTGAGCTACCCCTTACCTGTGCATCATTATAAAAGTGATGTGAACAGCATTAACTGAACCCTTTACAGTTCTGTAAACCTCAATTAAATGCTGCTGAATTTCTCCTTTCCAGATTAAACTTTTTACATCTTGTGATAGTGCACGTTCACTTGGGATCTTTCTGGTTTTCTGTCAATGAGGCAGCAGCAGAGAAAGATGGACCTAGCAAGAGAGGCAACAGGGTGGCTGGAAAACACTGCAATGCCAAAGCCTCTGCCACTACCAGCTCTTCCTCTGCCTGCACCTGTGCAGCTGTGTCCAGGCTCGGTCACCAACCACGGAGGCTTCCACTGAGGTCTGGTCTGGCTTTGCAGGAACTGCAGCCGGCAGGTCCTTGCCAGGGACAGCCGGGGTGGGGGTGCAGATGGCTTATGGTGTACGAGGTACCTCCTGGGGAATTCTCTCGGTAATCAGGTAAAGGCGCTGCAGGAGGAGGCAGATGGGCTCACAGAGACCTCCAGCATTAGGGAACATGGGCTAGCCAGAGATGGTCCTGGAAGACACAGGTACTCTAGATGGTGGAAGCTGGCAGCTTGTCTCCGCTGGCAACAGGCAATGCTCCTCTTCCATGCCTGTAGCTGCCCAGCTGAAGAACCGGTATGAAGCCCTGGCTTCAGATGAAAAGGAGCCCACTCCAGTGGCTGGGGGGGGCCA